CAAGGCATACACACAAGATTCACTTAGCATCAGGTGGACTGTGTGTTGGTTTTTCACCCTTAAGGCGACACCGTGAAAACATGCACCTCCTTTCATCGCATAGTATAGGAGTATGAAACGACTAACGAGACTGGAATTTTGGTATAGGTAAATTCATGTCTTTATCTTGAAATTGCTTGTTCAAAAACACGATTGTAAAATTTTGACTCGATCATAATTATTTGCGAAAACACCTCCAAAAAATCACTATAGTTGAAATTACCACGAAAATGGAAACCACTCAAATACAGTCATAACATCAATATTCGTAATTTACTTGCTCATTATTTTGATTACTAAAATCAATATTTTTTTTTAAATATTTTAAGATTCTAAGCGATTTCTAAGCGGTCTAAATCGTCGCGGGCACTACGCAATTTTAGACCTTATGACGGCGTTTTTGAAGTATTTATAGAAATTATATTTCACTCGGGTCAGTCCGGCGATAGCCCGCTTCAACGGTTTTCGATGTGTCGCCTTAATCTAAGAAAAATCCGTTTTTACTGGAAACGAGGCAATCCATCAAATTCCTCAGGGGTGAAAACGAATTACATTTTGATTTCTAATCGAGGATGTTTATAGGTCACTGCATCCACTTATCATCAGAGGGACTGTGTGCTCGCTTGTAACCCTTATTCTATAAAAAAAATATGTGCCGTGTGTCGCTTACCACCGCAAGCACAGAGTATTGTATAGTACGAGGCTCGCAGCTGTTGTCAAGCGCGAGGCCGGACCGGCGCGGCGCGGCGTGCCGACGCGGCGGCTTCTTTATTATATACTAGCTGTTCCCCGCGACTTCGTCCGCGCGTAATTTATTACGATTGGATTTCATGGATTCAATTTTTTTGCGCGGAACCCTAATTCTTTTTCTTAAATAAAAGTAGCCTAAGTTGCTCCTTATAGCATCAGCTGTCTGCCAGTGAAAGTCCCATCAAAATCGGTCCAGCCGTTTCGGAGATTAGCCGGGACAAATAGACAGACAGACAAAAATTGTGTTTTGTTATAAGTACCGTATATAATTTCATATGCATTTAGTGAAAAGCTGTTATTTTGACATTATAAACAGACACTCCAATTTTATTTATGTGTATAGATTAACAAAAATAATTAGCGGGCCGCAATTTGTAATGATTTTAGGAACTTTGTTTTTTTTCTGCAGACTTCTAAAAAGGAGACGGTACTCAATTCGACTGTATGTTTTTTTTTATGTGTGTTACCTCATAACTTTTTACTGGGTAAACCGATTTCGATGATTCTTTTTTTATTTGAAATCTGGTACTTCTGATGTGGTCCCATACGATTTTATCAAGGTCAGACAAATAGTTTTTGAGTTATTCGTAATAACTTTTATTGAAGTCGGCTGTACAAAATTTTTAATTTTTAATTATTATCAACTCTCGTCGACCAAACTATAAGGTTTTTTTTATACCACTTTACTTTTTTTTATACTACTTTACTATACCACGTATAGTAGTGACAAACGAACTTCTGTCTACTTGATGGTAAGTGGATAGTGAGTGCGTGGACATCTGCAGCAAACTTCAAACAAAGACTTATTTTATAAAATAAGGATGACAAACGAGCACACAGTCCACCCTATGGTAAGTGAATACTGTGGCCCATAGACATCTACATCTATCCTCGATTAAAAATCAAAATGCAGATGCGTTGTCACCATGAAGCAAATATAAAGAGGAGACGGCATATTTAACTGTGCACTGTGATTCTAAGTAGGTCCTGACGTCATTATAGTGGGCGTGGCTTTAGTTAGTATACTGTCAGCACTCGTCCTGTGCGCTTATGTGTTGAAAATCGCAAATCGGTGTATTTGCGTAGTATTAAGAGGAAAAGGATGAAGTGTTGTATTTTATCGTGTAAAAACTACTCAGATAGACGCTCTGATGCTATGGATGGCATCACATTTCATTTGTAAGTAATTTTAAACCTAATTTATTAAAATAGTTCTAGAAAAATCTCTTTCCGTCGGCTTTCAAATATAATTAAATATATTCGACACTAGATGGCGACACTTTGTGTCATGTGAACTAAAAATATATAGGAACGTAGAGCTCAGTATTGGTAAAATAATCATAAGAAGTTGCTGAAATTTGTTTTGCATTCAGACAAAGAAATTTTAATCGCCAAAATGTTATTTTTATAGTTTATAATCATTTTGTGAACATACCGCCGTCTACCGTCTAGCTAGCTAAACTACATTGCAACATCGATATGGAACGATTCGAATAGTTTTACTATTTATCGGTAGATGTAGATGGTGTAAGTTGGGCGGGGCTTTGCATCTCCTCACCCCGCAAATTGTCACGCGTTGTTACATAGTGAAACTTAATTAGAACGTCTCCTCTTTATATTTGCTTCATGGTTGTCACTCCCGAGGACTAAGATGCCTCATTTCCAGTAAAAAGGGTCTCCGGTTCTCTACACTCACCATACAAAACACAGCATCGTTAAGCTGCTATTTTACGCTGGTATTCTGTGAGAGCGTGGTCCTTGCCCGGTCTGACCCATTCGTGCTACCACCATAATATAGCTGCAGCATAACTCCACGTACAATTCTATAGATGCGTTGTCATCTCTGAAGAATAAACATATTAATCACAACCTGTACATAATGATACTGGCGCTCTATGTCTTAGAGACCGGAACATAATAGTGCAAGCACTGCTATGTGGAGGACGAAATAGGTAAGGTGATAACTACCCAAGGGACTCCTAAACACGAAACGAGTTCTACTGTCTAGGCATTTTGGGTTCACATTACTTTAAAATCAAAACCAAACCCTTGCCACGTGTACTATAAAATAAGTAACACAAGGAAAATAAAATTTATAAAAATAAAGAACACTTTTATTTCTATAAGATTAAATAACAATTTCAGATTGTATGGCACAAGCGTGAAAAGTATAAAATATAAAATTATTTTATATATTTTAATTCCGTATAAACAAATACCAACGACCATTTCATTTTCGATATTTTTATATGCAGTTGCAATTAACAAAACAAACATTAAATATTATAATAAGAAAATATTTCTAACATTTATTTACTTAGACAATATTACCAAATTTTTATAAATAATAAAACCAAACATTGCAAGATTCTATTTATGACTTTAAAGACCAGAATGTAAATTTATTACAACAATTCCACAACTTTATATGAAATGACCTCTCAAAAAAGATAGACATTCGATGTTTGATAGTGACAGCCACAAAGAAAGAGGTAGTAAGATAAAACAAATGACTTATGAAATAAGAGCTGCCTTAAACCGGCCCATACGGATCGTCCAACACCCCAAAGCCTCCAACATACGATGTAAGGAGGGGAAAGCAAAGTTAATGACCAACCTCAGCGAATGTTTTGAATGTTGGACGATAGTGTAGTGCCAGCATTACCCTTCTACGAAGAACTTAATTCACTTGTGTTATATACTAATTTATAGTAGGAAAGGTCTACGATTAAACTTAATTATGGCAGTCAAATCGTCTTATTCCTACAGATATACTTAATAAAAATATTTTTTTTTTGTATACATGAAAAACTAACTTCTAAAAACCAGCATGAAAACAAACCGAGAACGTTATAATGATAGAAAAATTATATTTCATAATAATAGAATGGGTTTAGTGTAAATTCTAAATCACTGGCAATATACATAATACTATTATCATTTTACATTTTATTAGTAAGATTAATAAAAATATAACGGAGCTATTTCAAATAAGCATAAATCAATTTTACTAGTAAACATTTATGAAATATAATATGTTCATGATATACATAAATATTACCTTAAACTACTAGTTTTTTTATCATTCATTAAATAAATTGATTTTATAACAAAATAATTGTATAAATTATGAATAAGTTCCTTTTCTAAACCTTATAACATTAACATAATTTATTATTATAATTTTTTTTTAATTAAGCTGCCGCTTATAAAGCTGCTAATAAAACATCATAATTTATAATTTTAAAATTTTATTAAAAAAAAATTAATTTTGCGATTTATAAAAAATAAAAATAATTCCTTGTTAAAATTGTATATTATGATTTTTATTCGTAAAACAATATTACTATTTCTATTATTTATATGATAGAATATATTTGATTAAAAAATCCGTACAGGTAGAAAAATATATCTATTTTACACTTAAAACTTTCTGGCAAGTGTTGTGCCATCACACGAAAGAGAGTACAGCTGCATCATAAAATCATTAATAATTATAATTTGAAATATATTATTATATAAAGTGCATACTTAAACAATGTGTCAGTTTAAATTCTATTAAAACAGACCTAATGTAAGTAATTTTTTAACTTCATGCAAATTAAAGTAACATTAAAATTCCAAACATAAAAATTGCATAATCAAAAGATATATATAATTAACACTACCGTTATACTTTACGAACCTTACCAGAAATTTGACCCTAAAGACTGCGTCGTGTATATACCAATTTAACGATTCGTTTGTTCATTTTTATGTAGTATTATAAATGGGTTTTTACAATCTAATTACTTTCAACAAACTCAACATCAAATTTTTCAAATGCATTCTACTTAACAATTATTTAATAGTAAGCCCATTTTAGTTTTTTTGGACAGTGAATTTAAAAAAAAATGTTGATACGGTCAGGAGCAAGAACATAAGGGTCAACTTCAGTAGTTGTTTAAGTATTAAAAATTCTAATATCAATATAAATAACGTATCATTCTTTTTTATTGCGTTGACGAGATGAACGAATGATTTTCATCTTCGTTAATTCACAACTATTCATTCACGAAAAATAATTACAATAAAAACATGACCATTTCTCACAATTATCTATACCTTGTGCTTTTTCCGGAAATAAACTTACAAGTTATTTTTATTTAGCCTACATTACATAGATAACTGTTTATCAGTTATTAATATTATTTATCTGTGAATAATCCTTATTAATCAGTTATTCTCAACTCCGCCAGTTCTTTCTCTTCATCGACCTCGTCTTCTTCATCAGAGCCGTGAACCGAAGCGGCTGGCGTTGTTGCTCCTATAAAAAATAGTTTATCTGTGATATTTTTCTTAATTGGCAATAACCAAAGACCTGACCCAAAACAAATTTAAAACACATTGGCACCATACTCAGTGATGTTTTAGTCTTTATTCCTTCATTACTCCTTCACCCTTAGACCACTATTACATTGCATGTTATGTATATGATCGTAATATAAGATTCATAGAAATATGAGAATACTATGACAGTGTGGTGTGTGTACATACTCGTATATGTCAAATGTACAAAACTAAGCTGCGCCCCCTTTTCCCTAAAGGGGGTCATACAGGCCAATGCCAGTCTCACAGGTGGTGTTTAATGGGTAGGCACTTCTTCAAAGTGAGTCCCACATAACCACACAGCCGGCTGCCGTGGTATACTATGAGCATTCACCACCTCCCTCCCTCGCTTCAGGAGGGTGCCTTGCATTGGGCGCAAAAACTAAGCTGTTATAGGTTCACTTTGTACATTTGTCGCACTCACACACTCCCTCTTTGTGTAAGAGCGGCCTTAGATTTTACTTAAGCTTGTGCAGTGAAAACGCAAAGTGAAATGAAAACTCTACAATACTAAGTTAAAAACTTATTTTTATGTTCTTTATTTTTAAAGGTGGCAGTTATTTTAAATTTTTAAAAGTGAAGTATGTGAAATAAAAGTCGTAAATATCCGAGCATACAACCTATAACTATGTGTATAACTAAATTCGCCTTAAGCAACAATTGTTCTACGATGGTGGATAACAAACAAAGTCAACGAAAAGTGAATCAAATATACTGCAAAAAATACGGCTACATACTGTGTACAACCAAACACACAGTTGGTTCTCAGTGTGCACTAAACTGTACCAACTAAGAACCATAACTAGCGTTGCCAGATGTTCCGATTTTTAGGCTAAAATTAATAATAATGAGCAGGACAGGCACAGTCCAGCTTTTTGGGAATTTCTCGAACGGCCGGAAACTGACCGCCTGGTAATCCGTCTAATAGTGACTTAAATAAGTTTTTTCCACTAAGGTTTATACTTACAAACCATGAGATGGATAGCAGCGGCTTCTTAACAACAAAAAAGTCCTACATTTGCCAAACCACCCACGACGTTTGAGAATATGAGGCAGGCAATCTATGGGGAGGCCCTATGTTCATCAGTGGACTTTTATAGACTAACGGTAACGGTAAGTTTCATAATTGTTCTCATCTATCAAAAGTCTCATCATCGACATGGTCCTCTTCCATATATTGCCTCATGAGGGGGGAATATTTACCATTGTCACCACTCTAGGCAGGCGGGTTTGCAGCCGCATTTTTTTTTTAATTTTGAGTTGTAATCAGATGCTGCTACACATCTCCAGTTTCATTTCCCTCTGTCGCACCTTACGACACCCACGGGACGATATGGGGTAGTAGATTATTTTACAATGCTACTGCACAACGATTTTTTCTAAATTGATAATAAAAATAACTCAGTATTTTTTTTATTGTATCTCTTCTGGCGCATACATACACAAAGTATTCACAAATAAATAAAATCTGAATTTGAAATTTAAAATTTAAATTTGAATTAGCAATTGTAAGTTGAGATTTGAATTTGAAATTTGAATTTGAATTTGAAATATGATTTTATTTATTTGTGAATACCCTATATATTGTATAGGAAGTATTCACAAATATTTAAAATTTGAATTTGAAATTTAAAATTAAAATTTGAATCGACAATTAGCAATTTAAATTTAAAATTGAATTTTGAATTTGAATTTTGCATTTGAAACTTGAATTAGAATTTTTTTTCTATTTGAATTTGAAATTTAATTTAATTTATTTGTGAATAGACTGTATATAATACTGTGCCGTGTAGTGGAGGTTAAGAATATCCACTACCCCATATCTTCCCGTGGGTGTCGTAAAAGGCGACAAGGGGAAACAGGCAGGAGATGGGCAGCAGCATCTTCCTGATAACAGTACAATAAGTACAATAAAAAAACTGCGGTTGCCAACCCGCTCGTTAAGCGTGGCAACTATGGCAAATACCCCCCAATGATGAGAGCAACAAAGAGACGGCCCCCAGTCCCCGGCGGTCCCGCTATTCCCGGCTACGGTGGCGACCATGGTAACGGCGGGGCAGGGTGTGCTAAGAATCTCCGGTGGAGGTTCGGTTGCCACCTAAAACGACTCGACCTGGCAACATACAACGCACGCACCCTGAGGACTGACGAGAAGATCGTGGAGCTGGAAGAAGAGATGGACAAGTTACGCTAGCATATTATAGGATTATCCGAGGTCCGAAGAGAGGGGGAGGACACAGTAATCCTCGAATCCGGCAACTTGTTCTATCACCGGGAGTGCGACCATCTGTCCCAACGAGGTGTCGGATTTATCGTCCACAAGTCTCGCGATAACAACTCTTCAACAGATTTGACAGCATACAGGCAACTGAACAGACAGATCTCCAAATGCATGCGGCGGGACTTACGCAACTTCAATACAGCGTGTATTTTGATTGATCGAGCGGAACCAAGGCTCCAAAGTCTTTGGAGATCTGTCTGCCAAAAGAGCCAACTGTCAATGCTGAAGACCGAGTGTGGCAGCATCGTTTCCGGGACACCTGAGATTTTGAGTGAGATTGAGAGGTTCTATGGGCAGCTGTACACGTCATCGTTGGAGCCACACGCAAGTGTGAGTAACGATCCAAGAGCGAGTCTTATCCGATACTATTCCGAAGATATCCCGGACGTCAGTCTGAGCAAAATTAGAAAGGCTCTCCAGCACCTTAAAAACGGCCAGTCCCCGGGCGAGGATGGAATTACAGCGGAGCTTCTGAAAGCGGGTGGAAAACCTTGAACTTGACTTGAAGTCCTTCAGAAGCTCTTTAATTCCGTCCTCCATGATGGCATTACACCGGGAGCGTGGAGCAGAAGTGCGGTGGTCTTGTTCTTCAAGAAAGGTGACAATGCTCTCTTGAAGAACTACAAACCGATTTCCCTTCTGAGCCGCGTCTACGTGCTGTTTTCGAGAGTCATTACGAATCGTCTCGCGCGCAGACTTGACGACTTCCAGCCTCCGGAATAAGCTGGTTTCCGAAAGGGCTTTAGCACCATAGATCACATACATACCCTTCGGCAAATTGTACAGAAGTCCGAAGAGTACAATTTGCCACTATGTCTGGCGTATGTGGACTACGAGAAAACCTTTGATTCCGTCGAAATTTGGGCGGTGCTGCAGTCCCTTCAGCGGTGCCAAGTTGACTGTCGGTATATCGAAGTGCTGAAGTGTTTGTACAGTAGAGCTACGATGGCTATCCGAGTACAGAATCAGAGTACGAAACCTATCCAACTGCAGAGAGGTGTAAGACAGGGTGAAGTTATATCCCCGAAACTCTTCACCGCTGCATTGGAAGACGTTTTCAAGCTACTGGACTGGAAAGGATGCGGTATAAACATCAATGGCGAGTACATCACTCACCTTCGATTTGCGATTTGCTGTTCGATTTGTGGTAGACGTGGTCCTTCACTGCTGGCCGTATGAGGAAGCTCAAGGTCGCTCAGCGAGCTATGGAGAGGGCTATGCTCGGGGTGTCTCTGCGTGATAAACTTAGAAATGAGGATATCCGCAGTAGAACCAGAGTAACCGACAAAGCCCAACGGATTAGTAAGCTGAAGTGACAGTGGGCCGGCCATACAGCTCGAAGAACCGACAACCGATGGGGAAGAAAGGTTCACGAGTGGCAGCCTCGTAACGGTAGGCGAAGTGTAGGGCGACCCCCCACTAGATGGAGTGACGACCTGTTGAGACATGCAGGAAGTCGATGGATGCAGGTGGCTCAGGACCGTGTTTTGTGGCATTCCTTGGGGGAGGCCTATGATCAGCAGTGGACTTGTGAAGGGCTGTAATGATAATGGTGAGACTGTATATATGAGACAGAAGGGATTTTAAATTAAATTACTTAAAAGGTTTTAAAATCCCGGTTTGTATGAAAAATCTGGCAACGCTGGTCTAACTACCACACGACCCAAAAGGGCATCAGTACAGAACTTAATCTCCACCACTCCGGTCCTCCGCGCAGTCACTAAGTTTCGAGATCAGTTCATCGATCTGTTCTGTAACAGCTTTGTTCAACGGTTCTAGAAAGTTCTCATTCGGCGTCCGATAGTTCTCGTGCTCCGATTCGGTGAACGGTTTCTCGAAACTCACTTCCAATCCATCGTGAGCCCCTTCATCGGTTATTTCGAGTATTTCGAGTGATTTTTGTATGTTAATTGCGTTTTTCCTTTGCACGTCGACTCTGTGCTCGCCGTTCGTTTGGACTTCTTCGTCTTTTGTCTCTTTAGGTCGTGCTATTTCTTTTATGTATGAAACGGTTAGAAGATTGGTTGTTTCATGGCGGCGTACTGTCAGATGAACGAGTTTAAACAATATTACTACTTATAGTAGTTAGTTACAACCTACATACGACAGACCGACCGGCAACAACGAGGCATTCCATCTTAGCTCTCAGAGGTAACAACAGAGGCATCTTAGTCCTCGGGCACGCATCTGCATTTTGATTCTTAATCGAGGATAAATGTAGATGTCTATGGACCACAGCATCCTCTTACCATCGGGTGGACTGTACGCTCGTTTATCACCGTTATTCAACAAAAAAAAATACTACTTATAATAATTGCAGCCTATATACGTCCCCATGTTGGGCACAGGCCTCCACTGAGAGGTTTTTAGGGCTAGGAAGTGTTCGCTGCGCTGCCCTAATGCGTGTTGGAAGACCTCATATGTCTTTGAAATATATTTTTATTTCTCAGATAGGGTTTCCAGTGTTTTCCTTCACCGCTGAACACATAGTAAATCAGCATTTAAAATTACAATAAACAATTTCAACGGTCTCGGATATAATCCGGGCTACTCGTGTACTGTGAATTTACAACGGGCGCTTTGCTTAACTCAGGGGAGTTACTATATTTTTAGTGTGTAAAAAAAACGGTTCAGACTTGCTTCAGTCAAGAAAAAATATAACTAGGTATATATTTCTTTAATGTTTGATGTGTAACATCTTTGCTCTCGCTTTTCTGCAATCTGTGGGAGTGATTTCGTGAAAAGGGACGGAAGTGTGTAACAGGAAGCTGGGGAAGCGCGCGCTATATGATTTGACCAATGAGCGCGCGCGATGTTAGTTAAGTGTTCTGTTATATAAACTAATTTATATGTGTAAACTATATTATTTACTGTTGATAATAAATACAATAAAAGCTCCTTATTCGCACTTCCTTCATTCGCGTTTTCACTATTCGCGAATAAAAAAATTCGACCCAATTCATTAAATAATACATGCTCTATACTAAATATGATTTAATTAATAGAATCAGGCGTTACTTTGCGGAAGTCCATTATATTAAATTTGACAAAAAATTACTTTGCGTACAACCGCTAGATAAAATAAAATGATGTGTCTTACTGAAAAATGAAGTGCTATTCAAACTAGGTAAGACACATCATTTTATTTTATCTAGCGGATGTGCGCAAAGTAATTTTTTGTCAAATTTAATAAATATGATTTTTTACAAGGAGTTACAACTTGCCAATCTGTACTTACTCGAATGTGTAGGACTGGGTGGCTCGGAAATGGGCCGAGGGTAGTTAAACCGTTTGCCCAGTTGCTTGTCCATGTGGTCCACGTAGTCTGGATAAACGATCTTCAGGGCTTGTGCACGCGCTTGCCTGTAGTACTGCGGACAGAATATGACCGTTTCAGTGGTTCTAAACCTTTTTTGCTTTTGATAATTTAATTATTATCAGAAGCTAAAAGGACTTTTGTTTATAAACCGATGAGAATTAACACATACATTTTTTACGCGTGGAAGAGACCATGCTGCAGCTATATTATGGTTGTAGCACAAATGAGTACAAACAAGGCAGAGAAAGCATCGATGATGACTCGAGGAACGGAAGGCTGTCAACGCCCATCACGTCAGAAATCAAAGACAAAATCCCCAAATGCTTTTAGAATATCGATGATTGAAAGTGCGTGAAATAAGTGACACTATAGCGATCTTAACTAAGCGGGTGTTTCATGTGTTAACGGAAGATTTAGAAATGAAAAATGTGTCGGCAAGATGGGTGCCGCGTTTGTTGACCGCCGAACATAAACTCAACTGGGATGAAATCTCAAGAATAGAATCTGGCGTTGTTTCGATCAAATGCTAACGACTTTTTAAGAAGATTTATAAGCATTGGTGAAACTTGGATTTACCTCTTGTTCCTGAGAAAAAACAACAGTCGAAACAGTAGAAACATAGCGATTCTCCGCCACTTAAAAAAGCCAAGTAACAAAATTCGGCGGGAAAAGTGATGACATCAGTGTAATGGGATTATAAGAGAATTATTTATATTGATTTTCTTCCCAAAGGACAGGCTATAACAGACTCATACTATGCTAACCTGTTAGATAAATTAGCTGACAAATTATTATAACTGGAAAAGAGGCATTCCATCTTAGTACTCACGTGTGACAACGCATCTGCATTTTGATTCGCAAACGAGGATAAAAATGTAGATGTCTATGGGCCACAGCAACCACTTACCATCAGGTGGACTGTGTGCTCGTTTGTCACCCTATCGTATAAAATAAAAATAAACTTTTTAAACTGCCCTCGTATATCGTTAAAAAGAGCAATAATATAACCTAAGAGTGAATAATTGTACTAAATCACTTACAATGCCCAGATTCCTCCAGTCCATGAGATCTGACAATCGTTCTGTTCTATTCCTCTGTATGATGCGCTGTCGGCGACTCAGCCTACACAATGTATAAAAAATTTAATACATTTAGAATCATTAAATTAATAGGTAAAGTGTTGAAAATTTATGTAGTAAGTAATAATAAAATGTACATACATAATAAAGAAAAACATATGTATGTAGGATTTGGTTTCCGAATGAAGACGAGTGAACGAGATGAATGAACGTGTGAGCAACAGGGAATGGGAAGAGGGATTATAATATCGAACAGGCGAACTGAGAGACGTGTGCAGATTTTTAAAGCAAATTTCGTAATTTAATTAAAGATGTCAAGTTCCTTGAAGACAATTTTATTTATCGTTTCCACGTGTATATTGTTTTTAATACGAATAAGGGTTCATACGCACTATGCTGTTACCCGCAATGCGGTCAGCCGTACGGCCAAATATAAAGCAAAAATATATACGTAACATCTATTTCTATGCGCACTGCGATCCGGCTACCCGCAAACCGCTCCGGTCGCTTGGAGGGCTGCGGCCCGAATAACGGACGGTTGCTATTCGCACTGTGCGGTTCAGTTTGCGGCTGCCCGTCATTGAGTAAGATTATGTGCACGTGGTACGTTTATGATTCGAAAAGTGTATCATCGAAATCCGGAACTAGCCAGCTATTTGGAACACCAAATTGCCAGAAAATTCCGATGAAATTTTAGAACAAAGAGCATGGGAAGAGTTAGTGCATATTTATCACGGTACGGAAATGAATCGATATGATCGCAAATATCGCAATCATTGCGATTGCGAATACGGCCGCCCGCAATCCGGTTGGACGTATTTGCAACCACATCATGGGGTCAGCCGGACGACTAGCCGCATTGCGGTTACCCGCTTAGTACGTATGAGCCCTAAAGTAAACATGGACAAGATTTTTTTTAAACAATTACTTTAGCCCTTACAGTATTTATAAGCAAGCTATAGAGCGCGCGTTAGCGACGCAAAACAGTAATGACAAAGGCTACCTTATTAGCCACGAAAGGTCACACATGTAAATTATTTCTCTCGACGGTATTTATTTTAATTTTAAGTTACCACGGTGAAATGTGCAGTTGAAAAAACAATTCACGAAAGTAAACTAAGAAGAATAATGATATTTCTTTTTATCGGGATGTAATATTTCGATAACAAAACACTGATTTTAACAAAATTACTTAGGGTGTCAAAGGGTGTAGCGGGAGGTGAGCGTCCGGGGCGACACAGTACGTGCCTCGCGCCTCGCTCGTCGGGTTTTCCCCGAATTGTAGCTAGTACTGTGCAACGTTGTATATAATCGAATATTTTTTTAATAACATGATTTTTTTCGTAATAATTATAATATAATTATAGTATTAACAGTTAAGATCCTTTGCATTCCTGACCCATTTGGGTCAATTATTATTTATTTTTATTATTATTATTATTTATTTAATTTCAAGTATCTAGGACTCATTATTACATAAACTTTTTCAGAATTATGATTATTATAAAAGGACAATGTTAAAGCTCGCCTAAGAACCAAAATATATTTGACAATTACCAAAATTCTTATCCTTAATTATGCATTAGATAACATTCATTAGATAGTAACGGACACTTCTGACTTGTGAAATCAAAATAAAAACGACTTTTCGATTTTGAACTTTGTACCTATTTTTTAATACTATTGTGCTTCGTTTATGGCCTCCTGTGATTTGGCCAATCGCACAATACCTTCACGCACATATTTCAAAAGTTGTCATAAACTCAAATATATTATGAAAACGTTTATTTATATTTCAAAATACATCTCAGATTAATATATGCCACAAGGAACTGGGATACAGTGAAATCATCTATTTTCATTTAAAATAACAATACTATTGTCATCTCATTGGCAAATCAGCATTGTGCCATGCAAAAAAAAAGTCAATAACGTTGACAGATGACAACAAGTCAAAATAGATAAACGTCAGACGTGCTATTGTTTTGGTTTCGTTTGAAAAAATACATTTCTGTAAATGTTTTAGGAATCTAAATGCACTCTATAGTTGGTTTGTTGTGCGATAAGTTTATATAAATTACGAAACACGGCTTGAACAACGGATACGATGTTTCATAAACATAAAACATAACCTCAAAATCTCTATGATAACTGCAAATATCAAAGTTTTCAGAAGTGTCCGTCAGGAGTTATTGTTCTTACATACAATTATGTGTGATTTCGGACTTAAAAAGGTTTTTTTTTCACTGTTGGTTCTTAGGCGAACATTGTATGGACGCAAAACATTGTCCTTTAATTAAATACTCTATTCATTCAATGTCTACAACAGCTTTGAAAAGCTTTTTATAGGTACATAATAAAGGTAAATACGATTGAAATACTTTTCTAATTTCCTAAAATCCGTGAACTGGCAAATAAATTGATGGTAACACTATAAACTATAACAAACACATTTATGACTCATATTTAGTAAAAGTGCTGTAATGCAATTATAATTTGATTTAAACGGTTTTATTAACACACATCCTTATCAAATATGGTTCATATATATATTATACAATATCAAAACCACAATTATATAACAAGTTAAACCATTTTAAAGAGCAGTAAATTAATTTGATTTTTGTGTCTGATTAATAAACGTTTGATAAAAGTTTCATAAATTCGTATATATGTTTTATTGAGCTAAAATATACCTTATAATTATCGACTTATATTGACGACTATAATATTTACAAATACTGACATAATTAAATTAATAACTAAAGTAAAATAACGCATAGGCGTCAATCTTGGCGCGTCACTACAACCACTCTCAACTATGTATCAGTATATTTAGAACATCTGCTTACACGCTTGGTTTAATGGGCAGTGATCGATGTGCGCGCTCTATAGTTTGCTTTAACCAAATTAATGAAAACATTTTGATTATGTTCATGGCTGTAAGGGCTAAGATCCCTTTGCCTCCCCTGTGTGGGAAAATATTACAAAAATGGTTTTGCAAACAAATACTATAGCGTTGTTTCCATACAATTGATCGAATTTAACTAATTACTAGTAATAAAGTTTATAAAATTACTAGCTATAATCACATGTAACAGGAAAGTAACCAACGTATGGGCCTTAAACAAAGACTTTTATATATTTAAATAATTTTATATTCCCGACGTTTCAAGCACTTTACAGCACCAATAGCCTCGGGTCACGGTTAATAAACGCGATAAAATCCGTAAAATTAGTTTTATATAAATGTGTAGTGTTCGCGTAAATATAAGAAAACTTTTATATATGCTACTAAACAGTCTCTGCGACCTTAATACATTGCACACTAAGCTACGGTCAATTCTCCGTAACTCCTCGACTACAAGCGGGCGAGACTAGTTCTCGAACGTTGTTTTCGACAATCTAACAGTGGTTTTGTTCGGCTCCGTGGCGCAGTAGCTTAGCAATGAAGGCTGCGGGTTCGAATCCCGCACCGCAGCGTAATTCCGGGTCTGGATGTTTGTGTTTGTAAACTAACTACACGATACAGGATAAAATCCAAGTGTGGGGGTAACGTTAAAAAAAAATAAAAAGAATATAAAAAAATGTAAATAAAGATAAATGTAACTAAGAAAACGCTGTCGTTATATATTCGCGCACTTTGTCAACGTAGGTTGAAGATTATTTCAGGTAAGTATTTAACTTTATTTTGTATTTGCCTAAAAACATTATCTATCGTAAATGAAAATACAACTGTGTGGCATATTTACCAAGCCAGCTACCCGCTCGCAAGCGCGCGATCACACGACGCGACCACATCTATGCCACAGTTTTGGTTCAGAACTGCAGATCTAATGGTATATATAGGAGTCTTTGGCCCCGAAGCAACAACTCAGGATAAATGACTCTTTCTTAAAGTCTCGGGTACTCACTTGGTGAAGTCATACATGTACTGTGCCAGTTGCTGCACGGAGCCCTCGACGGAGATGTATCTTCGGTCCACCACGTAGATACCGTACGACATGGGGTCCGCGATGTGGTCTTGCATGAAGCAGCCGAACCCTTTAAATGGACATACAGAACAATTAGTCATAATTTTATATATATATATATATATATATATATATATATATATATATATATATATATATATATATATATATATTTATATATATATATATATATATATATATATTTATATATATATATATATATATATATATATATATATATATATATATATTTATATATATATATTTATATATATATATATTTTATAGAAGAGGGGGCAAACGAGCATGCGGCTCACCTGATGGTAAGTGTCTACCGCCGCCCATGAACAACCGCAACACCAGGGGAATTGCAGATGCGTTGCCGGCTTTTTAGAAAGGTAGCTCTTTTCTTGAAGGTCCCTAAGTCGTATCGGTCCGGAAAATTCGCTTTTGGTAATTGATTCCACAAGGAAGTTGTGCGATGGAGAAAACTTCTTCTAAATCGCACAGTGGTGGACCGCCAATCATCCAGATGGTATGGATGGCGCTCAATTTCACCATCGCACATCGCGAGTTTTGTCGCGATGTGCGATGGTGAAATTGAGCGGCTGGAATTAGTCGGAACAATTCCTCAGAGCACTCCCCGTGATAGATACGATAAAATACGCAAAGAGATGCAACATCTCTACGCAGTGCCAGCGTATCGAGCTGATCAGAAAGAACTCGATCGTCGACGATTCGAACCGCTCTGCGCTGGATGCGGTCAAGTGGAAGGAGCTGGAACTGGGGTGCCCCGGCCCAGAGATGAGAACAGTATTCCATGTGGCCGAACTTGCTCTTTGTAAAGTTGCAAGCGATGTGCCGGCATGAAATACTGTCTCGCTCTGCTAAGCACGCCAAGCTTTTTAGGGGCCAATTTGGCCTTCCCTTCCAAGTGACCACGAAACTGCACACTATTCGATATGTCGACGCCAAGGATTCCGATATTAGCTGAGGCAGCAAGGGGAGTGCCTTGAAACTGAGGAGATACGACAAAGGGGTTCTTTTTAGCGGTAAACGCGCAAACTTGTGTCTTCTGTGGATTGAACTAGACTAGATTTAGTCGCCTCCAATCCGAGCCTTTGTTAAGCAAAGACTCGACTTCAGACACAAGTTGGTCCCGGTACTCGACGACGTGTTCCCGAAAAATATTGGCACGGTCGGTATATAAGGCATTACCAGTGCTGTCGTCCGCATAGCAATGAATGCTACCAATTTGCAACATATCATTGATATGCAGGAGAAACAGCGTTGGTGATAGCACGCAGCCTTGTGGAACACCAGCGTTGATAGGCTTGAAATCAGAGCATGCACCGTCTACTACGACCTTGATGCTCCGATCAGCAAGGAAACTGGTGATCCATTTGCACAATTTCTCGGGAAGCCCATAGGAAGGAAGCTTCGAAAGAAGCGCTTTGTGCCAGACCTGATCGAAGGCCTTCGCTATGTCCAAACTAACGGCCAATGCTTCCCCCTTGGACCCTACTGCCTCCGCCCATCTATGAGTCAGATAGACTAGAAGATCACCAGCTGATCGAATCCGACTAAAACCGTACTGGCGGTCACTAATCAGCTGGTGGTCCTCAAGATACCTCATGAGCTGGCAGTTTATAATGGATTCCATTATTTTGGAGAACAAGGAGGTGATGGCGATAGGCCTGTAGTTGGACGGGTCTGAGCGGTCGCCTTTTTTAGGGATCGGGTGGACCAAAGCTGTCTTCCATGAATTCGGGACTACGCCTTGGGAGTAGATTAAAACCGGTGCCAACTCCGGAGCACACGTCTTCAGCACAATGGGAGGGACTCCATCGGGCCCACTCGACTTGCTGACGTCCAGGGAGAAGAGTGCTTTACGAACCGAGCGCTGTGTAAACCGCACATCCGGCATGGAGCACTCACACCGCGGGATGGTCGGCGGTATGTTCCCCCGTCATCTAGAGTCGAGTTGGACGCAAAGAGAGAGCTCAACAGATCGGCTTTCTCCTTTGCGGCATGGGCCAGTGAGTCGTCCTCTCTGTGCAGAGATGGAAGAGATGGCTGACAGAAGTTCCCTTTGACAGCCTTGGCGAGAGACCAGAATGCACGGGTTACCGAAGGAAGGCGAACTAGCTTCTCGCCAATTCTGCCGATGTGCTCAGACCTTGCCTTGGTAATGACGCTTTTGAAGGACCTGGAGGCGGAATTATACTTCTTTTTAAGTGCGCTGGTGTTTACATCCCGAGACGTTGATGCGTCAGTCCAGGCCCGGTAGCACTCCTGCTTATAGCGTGATGCTATTTTACAGGAGCGACCAAACCATGGCTGGGATCTGCCTCCGATGGGCACCACAGAGGATGGAATAAAAAGTTCTAAATACCCTGAAGTACCACATCAGCAACAGAATCGGCAACAACGCTAGGATCTTCCGGTTAGAAACAAACTAGCCCCCAAGGGTAGGATGCAAAAAAAGACCGCATCCCGTCCCAATCAGCTGACCTATAGTGCCAAACACGGCGGCAAGCTGCAGATCGCAACTGCGATTGGAGCGTGAGTGGCACCGTACTCCGGATCAGACAATGGTCCGAAGAGCCGAGAGGGGCATCGACGGAGACCTGATATCCGTCCGCATGAGAGGTCAGCAGAAGGTCCAACAGGGAAAGTACATGGTCTTCCACATCTGGGATCCGCGTAGGCGAAGTAACCAGTTGTGTTAGACCATATGCCTAAGCAAATCCATCCGTGCGACAGCAAGAGCTACCGCTTAGCTCTACCACTGTTAAAATTATATATATCAAAATAATAGCTTGAAATCGTACACAGTCAGAAAATGATGGTGCAGGCTGATTAAATGGACACCCACGACAACCATTCATCTTCTTCACCATTAGATTTGGGCCTCTTCAGTTGTAGGGGCAAATTGCCTTAGTCGTCCGCCTTGTCAATCACAGTACTAGAGATCGTGCAACTTTGGCATGTCGCCTGGTCTGCTATTTTACGTTTGACGTTAACGACTATACCGCCACAAATGGGACGCACTAAGATCTATTTAAGATATATTATCTACGTACAAGATGTATGCACGAATGGGTGGGCTCGACCAGGGAAGGACCACGCTCTCACAGAATACCAGAGTAAGATAGCAGCTTCATGCTGCTGTGTTTCGTTTGGTGAGTGTAGAGTACCGGAGACCCTTTTTACTGGAAAAGAGGCATTCTATCTTAGTCCTCATGGCTGACAACGCATTTGTATTTTATTCGCAAACGGGGTTAGATGTACATGTCTATGGGCCACAGCAACCACCTACTATCAGGTGGACTGTGTGCTCACCCTTATCCTATAAAAAAAAACCAATGTGAAGCTCACCGGACAGATTGGTGGTGATGCTGGGTATGCCCATGACGGTGCACTCGGCGGGCGTGTAGCCCCACGGCTCGTAGTACGACGGGAACACGCCCAGGTGGCAGCCGCGCACGAACTCTTCGTACTCCAGTCCGAACAGCGGGTTCGTGGACGTCAGGAACTCCGGGTGGAAGATCACCTGAGTACATCGACAAATTTTCATCCCCATCGATTGCAAAGACTTCTATGTCTATACATACTACAGTATAGTCGTTTTGTTGCTATACTGGCAATTCAGAACAAAAACTACGTAATTAATTAACTCAGTATATTCTAAAACAAAAATGTTGTATTATAAAGGGTTATTATTCAAAAAGTAGCCAAATTTTAAGTTCAAAGAAATAAATAATGATATACCGTTATTGCAATTTTTGAAAGTACGAGTAAATAAGGCTTCTACTTTTAATTGAAAATAAAAATAAAATAAATATACATCATTGAATGTGATTTTTGGGCAACAACGTTTTTGCCTATCGATCGACCCTTACGAATGCGTGCGTGCTCAGTAAAATCCGTTAAAATAATACATTACCATGCATTTTGAATTTAAAAGATTAAAAGGACAGAATGTTTAAGTTATTTTTTAATTAATTTTTCTTCACCATTTGCCTATATTAGTTATTCTGAACCTACTGTGCAAATTTGGCCGGTTATTGCAAAATGACAGTGTATATAACTATTTCGAATGTTTTTAAAAGTTATGTCCAGTAACCGGAATTAATAGTATGTAATACCGGTAATAACAATAAAAATAATATAAATATTAGGTGTTTTAAAAGCTTCCCTGCTAGTGACAAAATAGTTGCCGTGTGATGGTGTCCTCAGAGAATCTACTACCCCATATCGTTCTGTGGATGTAGTAAGAAGCGACGAAAGGAAACTGAAATAGGATATGAGCAACAGCATCTTCTTGATAAGAACTTAATAATAAAAATTCCGAAATGTGTTTTCGTCTTTGAATGGCAAGAAGTGTATTTTGTTAGTGACCACCTCATTCTCAGGGTTTTTGTCATCTATGAATCGCAGTAAGATAGTTACGACCGTGATATAGTTATGTCCCTAGAGATATAGCTATATACCGTAATATAGTTATATATAACTATCTCACTAGCCTAATCTAGTGAAATAATTATAAATATAGTTTGTATGTAATTTGTTAGTCAAAACTTGTGGGATGCGGGAAGTAGACTGTGTAAGAACTTCCGAAAGAGGCGGAGTTATAGCCGAAATAAGGATTTTTATTTTTTTGGATTTTGGCCATTTTGGCTCGCTAGGAGTGTAAGCCCTATCCTACCATGACCCCCATGACATCCTCTACATGATGATAGGCTATTCAAACTGACTAGGCCTAAAGTTCGAGTCTCAACCCCCCCCCCCCCCCCCCACCCCTCCAACTCATTTCTAGTCTTTACTTCCAATTACTTCGAAAAACTACTGTTGCCTTAATACTTTTTGAATTTTTGAAATTAAAAAGTTACAATTCTTTCAATATTACATTTTATATCGTTATAATTTACGCGGCTTTAAGGTGCCCCAAGGTCCACTCCAGCCGCACCTTAACCTACTGTCAAAAAAGGAACATGAACAACAACACAACCAGAAGGTCAATATCGCAAATTTTGTTTCTTCTGTACAATCAGTTTACTATTATAATTACTTCACTAGATTAGTTTAATAAGGTAGTTATATAACTATATTACAGATTATAGCTATATCCCTAGGGATATAACTATATCACGGCTTTAACTATCCTCCTGCGACATAATATGTACTCCTTAATATTGTAATAACCTCCTTTGTAGAATATTTGTTTAATGTTTTAATTGTTATTTTTAACTTCGCTATATGATATGTCCATTCTATTACAGCCTATAAAAGCCACTGCTGAACACAGGCCTGCTTCATAGAATACCTTATGTATAGGATTTCGCTATAGTGGTCACGCTTGGCGGGCGAGTTGCGAACCGCAGTTTTTACAATTTTGAGCTGTTTCAGTTTCCCTGTAGCCTTTTACGACACCCACGGCATGATGTGGGGTAGTGGATATTCTTACACCGCCACTACACGGTTAATATGTAATGTACAATACACAAACCTTGACTTTGTCGTTCACAGTGTTAAACAGATGACACCGACGGATCGAATTCAACACTGGATCGCTCCAATCGTCGACCTGCAAGAAAACAGATCATATATCGATATGCACTTTGATGAAAATCCATCAAATCCAGGGCATGATAGCAGGGAAGATGGATGTTATCATACAAAGGGTTAAATAACTATAAGTGTTTAAGGACTAACATAATGAATTGGTTGCCTGGAAGATATCGCTATGTAGCGATAAGGCCGCCAAATCTATACAAATCAATAAAATTGAAGTATCTGTTTGTAATGTCAAAATTACAGCTTTTTACTAAATGCATATGAAAGTATATACGGTACTAATAACAAAAATACAATTTTTAAAGTTTTTGTCTGTCTGTCTGTCCGTTTATCTGTGTGTTTGTTCCGGCTAATCTCTGAAACGGCTGGACCGATTTTGACGGGATTTTCACTGACAGATAGCTGATATCACAAGGAGTGGCTTAGGCTACTTTTGTTTTAGAAAAAGAATTAGGGTTCCGCGCAAAAAAAAAAATATAACCCCAAATAACACGCGGGCGAAGTCGCGGGGAACAACTAGTTGTACATATAATCTGTTTTTTGTTATGTCATTTGTATATTTGTTCGTGGTGTACAATAAAAGTATATTCATTCATTCATTCATAATGAGGGCAAATAATCTCAGGGTCACTAAATGACGCTAGTTGGAAGTAAGGTGAACTTATTTATATGCTATTTTGGATTATAAAAGGGCACATTGAAAATGAAAATGAAAATGAAAATGAAAATGAAAAATGGTTATTTTACAGAAAACAACTACAACTCATTGAAGTATCCGTTGGTACCCACACTAGGTAATCCTGTATCGTACATTGTGTTCGTCTCCTTCCACTCCAACCCTAAGCTGCCGCAAACGTAAGTAGTGTATCTATGAATATACTCATAACAATGCCTCACAGCGCTGTATTCTTTAATTTTTTACACATTCATTTCTTGACGGAAAAACCAAATCATTGATATTGACACGACCCAGGATTCGAACCCTGGAGCACACGATCAGCAGTCGCGTTTACGACAGTAGTAATTACTTACTTTGATTACTTATTTATTTATTTAAACTTTTATGCACAAAAGAAAAATCGTACATATGGCGGACTTAATGGCTTAAGGCATTCACTCCCAGTCAACCATTAGGGTAAGCAGAGATAAACATATGGGAGGTAGTGCAGCAAAAGTAAACTAAAAATGAGAAAAAAAGGTAACGAAGTTCGAATAAACCAAAATATGTATAGAAGATATTCTATACATATATCATAAAATATAAATATATTAATACAGACGTACATATACATAAATCTACTTAAAGACATTAAATATATACATTATATTACATACATATATACACACATATATCTGTGCCATGATAAATAAGGAAAATATGTGGCGATAGAATCATTCTTTAGGAAAAAGCGTTAATTCACACTTACAATGCTTTGCTAAAATGTTCACGAACTTTGTTATTAAAAATAAATTACTCTATTGTTCTAAGACGTTAGTATAAAACAACTTACGACATTGTGCGTAGTGACTGGGGGCAGGCCGTCCCTTTGCAGCGCGTATATACAACGCTTCAACCGCACCGTGTCTTCTTTGTGCAGAAGGTCCGACGCCTCGGGAAGATGACCTCTGTGAAGTTAGAAATAACTAAGGAAATAACATTGATGATATACCTAGAAACTTGTGAACGCAGTTGTTAGATGTGACAAGTTGGGGCATAAAATGAGTTAATTTTACCGAGTACTGGCGATGTAAGATTATCCACTACTCTATTATCACCCCGTGGGTGTTGTGAGAGGCGACAGAGGGAAACTAAAACAGAAGATGGCGGGAGCATCTTCCTGATAGCAACAAAAACTGCTGTTGCCAACAATGCAATGCAATACAATACCCTTTATTGTACACCAAGAAAAGTTAAAAATAACAAAAAGAAAAATAAACAACTATTGAAGGATATACAAGGGGCGGTCTTATAGCAATCTCTTCCAGACAACCCAGAAGAAGAAATAAATAAAAATAAGAAAAAGAACAATGGGTAGCGTGCACTAAAATAAAAAAATAAAATAAAAATACAGATACAAACGTATGCATTAAAAAGACAACATTCTTCAGGTAGATCAATGACCATAATTAAGCGGAGGAACCCGCCTGCCAAGCGAAAAATTATGCCAAAAGTAGCTGATAAAAAGAAAATAAGAAAGGTTCTAAACATAAAAATTAAGAATGACACGATTCAGGTGCTCAGTAGTGTATGTATTTAACAGCTACCGGGATCTTGGACTTTATTACCTTAGGCATATGTCATACATCCGCTTGCCGATCTTCTGCTGTATATCCTGTATGGTGTCACGTAGCGCCTTCGTTACCGCATGGCCACGGAGACTCTCCACGTTGAAGTTGTTGGTCTTCGCCGGGAAGATCATAAAGGCTACCACCGTTACCTCCGAATCTGAAGACTGAACAATTTGTTAGATTATTGCTGCTGTCCTTTTCACATGTAGACATGTTTTTATTGTTAGAATTAGTCAACTGTTGGTATAACAGCCAGTGCCAACATGTAAGTGATTAACGGCTGATGATACAGGGCTAACTCCAGCACGGCAGGATGTACCATACGAAACTGTAGAAGCCAAATAGGCTCTTTTACGTGGTAGAGCCATGCTGCAGCTATATTAGTAGTATAGTTGTAGCACGAATGGGTCGGCTCGACCGGGGAAGGACCACGCTCTCACAGAATACCAGCGGAAAATAGCAGCTTAATGCTGCTGTGTTTCGTATGGTGAGTGTAGCGAACCGGAGACCGTTTTTACTGGAAATGAGGCATTCCATCTTAGTCCTCACGGATGACAACGCATCTGCATTTTGATTTGTAATAGGGGATAGATGTAGATGTCTATGGGCCGCAGCAACCACTTACCATCAGGTGGAATGTGTGCTCGTTTGTCACCCTTATCCAATAAAAAAAAATAACAGCACTAACATCACAGAATAAAAATGTAAGTGAAAGACAACCAAGAGAAATGCCAATAAAGTCGCAGAGAATCCGCTAGATGGCGTTATAATCATGTCGAAAATTAACCTGAACCTGCGGCGAACTGTTTTTTTTTCTTTATATACCTCGAAATACAGACAAACATACAGCTATCTCTTTATATGCCTCTCAACAAGTGTTCTATACCCAGCTGTGGGAGATACATAGACCGTTATTTGATTCAATTACAAAATATTCTCATTCTTCTAAAGAATTATTATAATTATTTCACTTCCACGATACGTCTAGTACTACAATCGTAAATCCACCTGGTTAACGACCGTTGTACGTCTAGACGTATCGTACCTTTGACGTTGCTGTTAGTCAATGAACTGAGTATTTTTTGTATAGTATAATGGGTACAATCCCTTAGATGGTAATTGGATGCTGTGGCCCAGACACATCTACATCTACCCTCAGTTAAAAATCAAAATGCAGATGCGTTGTCAACCCTGAGAACTAAGATGGAATGCCTCGTTTCCAGTGAAAAAGGTATCCGGTTCTCTACAGTCGCCATCGAAAACACGGCGGCATTAAGCTGCTATTTAACGCTGGTATTCTGTGAGAACGTGGTCCTACCCCGGTCGAACCGACCCATTCGCGCTACAACCATAATATAGCTGCAACAAGGCTGTACATAAAAAAAACATTGGTTATATCGCACTCTATCGCAAGCCATAGGAATATCGGCATTTACCATAGACAACTTACAACACCTAGAGGACGAAATGGGATGATGGATCACTCTAACGCCGCCACCATACCTTTAAGTAATGATTGAGTCGAGCAAGAGCCTCTATAAAGATGTCGGCCCCTTTGTTGCCGAATTCGTAGCGGCCGGCGATGAAGAAATACAGCGTCTTGTCTAAGTCGAAGTTGAAGTGTCTGTTGGAAAATATAAAAAATTAAATTATTAACAAATATATCATTACAAACATATAACTACGTGGCGAGGAGACTTAGCAACAAGTTGCAGCTCTAAGGGGCGCGGGTTCGAATCCCGTACGGAAAAAATATTTGCATGGCCTATAAATAATTTTTCCGGGTCTGGATGTTTGTCCTTGTGAAATTTATGTATGTAAATCTCGATACAGGAGAAAATCCTACTGTGGAGGTAATGTTCTTAAAAAAAAGGTGGTTGACTGTATGTCGTGGTCGTGGTGAATATACCAAATAGTCTCTTCAAGGGGAGAGGTCTACATCCCATAGTGGACTGTATGAACAAATTAAGAGTATCCTTAACCGATGAGATGTATATAGATGTGGAAGATGCGAGACAGACAGACAGACGTGTCAAATTGACGTAACAGGCGTAAGATATTAGGTTATGCTATGTAAAATGACACCACTCCGAAATATGTCAAGCAATTTAAGCTTCAGGTTATAAAAACACAGACAAACATACATACAGATGTCTAGATATTTAAAAATTACGATCAATGTCAAAATATCAAAGATATAAAGTGTGGCATAAATAGACAATACTCAAGATTATCGATACAAGCAAGACTCAACCTTATGTCTATGAGTGTAAAGAATTTTCCCTTTCGTTACATAATAAATTCACATAAACACTCACGCATGTCACCCAGAGGGGTAGGCAGAGACTACAGAATTCCATTTGGCACGATCCTGACACACCTCTCTCGCCTCCTTTGCGTCTATATACCTACGCTACATGCACGTCGGTTTTAAGGTATTCTTAATCTGGCCCAATTTCCATATATCGCCAATTTGTTCGATAAACTTTCGTCTAGGGCGTCCAAAGACATTTAAGTAGTAGTAGTAATAGACCGGACATCAGCAGCAAAATTGTCGTCTGTAACTTATGTCCTATAGGATATATCTCCGTTAGTCTTAGTGACATCGTCAAAAAGTCAAGACGCATTCGTTTCATATATTTAAAAAATATTTTTTAAGAAAATATGCCCGTTTGTGCATTAAGATATTGTAAGTCACGATATGGAGCAAAACATGAACATGATTTCCGTTTATTATCGTAAATATAACATATTTTACCGAATAATCTTTAAATTTTATTATTTCTAGTAGATTGTTCTAGAATATTTATTTTTATTGTAATAAGCGTCCTCTGATATCCAGTAAACGTCACTATTTAGTGATGGAAGTCATGATAAATAGATGTATACAATAAAACAATCATGCATATTCTTTATCATTATATCGAAAAGCATTTCAAACTTAGTAATCTTCAACAACATTATCGATACTTTGATATCGAAACGGTAACATTACTAAAACGACGTTATATTTATTATAGTACGACCGCTGAGTTATTACCGATTTGACAGATTATTCTTAAATTAATCGATATAACCTTGCACGAGCGACACATTTGCCGAATGATTTAGAATACCTCTTTAATATAAAACTTTATGTCAAAATGTCAGAATCAAGTAATTTTCCAATAAACTCTGTTTCAAAACTTAAAATAGTTTGTAAATAATATGAAAACATTTATTTTTTGTTCTTTGGTGCGCTTGTACAAAGTTACATCGTGCGTCTAGTTTTCATAGTGATGTGCTTGATAGTATTCGGTCCGAATTCATTGGAATAGATATGATATTTATTTTATTTGGATATTTTTATTTTACTTTTTCCTTCGAGCAACTAGACTATAATGCTACCATTTTTTTGCGTCTCCTAATTGCACTGTGTTGCCAGTATCTCTATAATTTTTAAGATTTATGTGTGATCCAAAGACAGAAATACTGTTTTCTATGATTTAAAAATAAATACAATTAAAATGATTATGTATAATTTTTAACATTCATAATATATAAAACAACATTTAATAAATATAATTTTCTCCCTCAATTAAGCAATGTTATAGGTGTATTTTTTTCAGTAATTGGCGATACTATTCTGGCAACACCCTTACCACCGCTATTTTAATCTGTTTAGTCGTCTTCCGTACTCTCGTGCGCACAGACTACGTTCTCTTGTGTAACCGTTGTTTTTTGACTCGGCTTTCTCCTGTTTATCGTTGCGCTTTATTGGACTAATTTTGTTTGTGTTTGGTAATTTTATTGAAAATGCCGAAACGAGGAAAAACATTGAATAGTCAATGTCGTGAGCTTGTACTAAAGCTACAGGATTACTTTGAGCGTGAGTCACAAAATGGCGGCCCTTTGATTCCTGTCACTCAAGTGAAAGATCGGGTTTCACAAGCTCTTGGAATTGGTGCAAAAACACTATATAATATAAATAAAGAAAAATTTTGTGCTTCTGGAAGTGAAGATAATGTTTTACGCACTCCTAAGAAGAAACGAAGACAAAAGCCCGTGACAGGTGTTGATGTTTTTGATGCAGATGCAATAAGGAACCACATATATGGTTATTATACTAGGAACGAGTTGGAAACTAGACTAGACGTTTGCTTTTGGTCTCTTTAAAAGAAGCTGGCTTGTTTAAAGGCGGTAAAACGGCGTTGTCAAAATTATTGCACGAAATTGGGTTTGAATATAAAAAAACGAATAAAAGGAAATTATTAATGGAAAGATTTAATTTAATAATTAAAAGGAGCGAGTTTTTAAGAGAAGCCAGAAAAATCGAGTCTTGGGACAACGTCGTTTTTGTTGACGAAATATGGTTAAATGCGAACCACACTGTGTCACGCTCTTGGACTGACGAAACAAAAGCATCAACCTCAAAGGTTCCAAATGGAAAAGGATCGCGACTGATAATTTGTCACGCCGGTTCTGCTGGAAGTGGTTTCTTTGAAAATGGACTGCTGGCTTTCGCGTCAAAAAGTACTTCCGATTACCACGAGGAGATGGATACAGACACTTTTACGAATTGGTTCGAAAATCAATTATTACCCAGCCTGCCAGAGCCTTCTATCATAATAATGGACAACGCTTCATATCACTCGAAACAAGTGAATAAAGCGCCTACTCAGGCCGACAAGAAAGCTGATCTCGTAGCATGGCTACACCAAAATGGAATTGAAACTACTGCCGAAATGCTAAAGTCTGACTTAGTAAAGTTGGTACGCGAAAATAAAACATCAAGAGGCCGTTATGAAGTAGATGAGATAGCTCTAGCACATGGACATCGGGTACTTCGAATTCCGCCTTATCACTGCCAGTACAATGCCATTGAGCTAATATGGGCACAAATCAAAGGTATTGTTTTTTATCGCATAAGTTATGAATATGAATAATTTGTACTATTATAACATGCAATATTCAGCATATAAGTAAAAAGATACATAACTAAGAAATAAATATCTCATGTCCCTTACATGTTTAAAAAGAACCCCTTTGTCGTATCTCCTCAGTTTCAAGGCACTCCCCTTCTTGCCTCAGCCAGTATCGGTATCCTCGGAGTCGACATATCGAGTAACGTGCAGTTTCGTGGTCACTTGGAAGGGAAGGCCAAATTGGCCTCTAAAAAGCTTGGCGTGCTCAGCAGAGCGGGACAGTATTTCATGCCGGCACACCGCCTGCTACTTTACAAGGCGCAAGTTCGGCCTCACATGGAATACTGTTCCCATCTCTGGGCAGGGGCTCCCCAGTGCCAGCTCCTTCCACTTGACCGCATCCAACGCAGAGCGGCTCGAATTGTCGACGACCGAGCCCTTTCCGATCGGCTCGATTCATTGGCACTGCGAAGAGATGTTGCATCCCTTTGCATTTTCTTTCGCATCTACCATGGGGAGTGCTCTGAGGAATTGTTCGGATTAATCCCAGCCGCCAAAATTCACGAACGCACATCGCGGCAGGACTCCCGATACCATCCACACCATCTGGATGATTGGCGGTCCACCACTGTGCGATTTAGAAGATGTTTTCTTCCTCGCACGACCTCCTTGTGGAATCAATTACCATCAGCGATTTTTCCGGACCGATACGACTTAGGGACCTACAAGAAAAGAGCGTACTCCTTTTTAAACGGCCGGCAACGCATCTGCGATTCCCCTGGTGTTGCAGTTGTTCATGGGCGGCGGTAGTCACTTACCATCAGGTGAGCCGCATGCTCGTTTGCCCCCTCTCCTATAAAAAAAAATGTAGGTAATTGTGTAACATTTCGTTTATTTAATGTAATAAATTAACGTTATTTAATGTTTACATTACAGGTTACGCAGCTCGTAATAATACGACTCCGCCATTCAGTACTAATAAAATGATGGGTCTATTAAAAGATGCTTGCAGCAAAATAACGAAAGAAGATTGGGTCAAGGTCGTCGAAAAGACTCGAAAACTAATAACAGAAGATTATGAACGCGATATAAGAGTGGACACCATTATAGAGAATGAAATTGTCATACAAGTGACTGATAGCGATGACAGCTCTGGCGAATCTGGTTCAGAGTCTGAATAATTGTTTTAATAAATGATAGGTAGTCATTTATTAAAACATCTTGTACCTACTCTATTCATTAAAATGTGTAACAATGTTTACAAATTTGTTTTATTTTGATATGTCCTCGACCAATTATCTACGCCCATCAAGGATAATCCACCTAATAAAGAACCTGTGTCTTTAACTATTATTGTTTTGATTTTATTTAATTACACACTATACTAGAATATTTAAAAACAAACTGTTCCCAAATGATATTAGGATTACTGGTTCAGTCACTTCACTAGTATTGTCAATTCGTCATGTGTCAAATCGGTAATAACTCAGCGGCCGGACTATAGCGTCACCTACTGGGGTATAGCTAAAATGTTGTCTTAATAAATGCTTTTTTCAGCTAGTTGTTTTACACGCGCACTAGCTCAAAGTTTTTGTATATAAATGTTCCTAATGCTCGCTCTATAGTATACCTAAATATTTAAATCTATTTGAGGGCGTCCCTTCCCGACTCTGCCGTTCACTTCTACAATATAGATTTGCTATGTCACTCTTTCCTCGTTCATTCTTTCTACATGACCAAACGCTTTGGTTAATCGCGATTATTCTAGCATTTTTATGTATTGGAATAAAGGGAATGTTTGAACAAACCGAATTGGCCTATTATGTTCTACTCTTATCTCATTATTAAGTTACTTTGTGTGTAGAAGAATACACCGATATCTGATCGACATCTGAATACAGGGCCTCCTTTACAGATTGCCTCATAGGTGGCCATATATGGCCATAGGTGGCCAGCTTGGCAGGCAGATTGCTAACCGCAGTTTTTTTCATCCTAAACGGCATTTTACTAACGCTCCACACCACAATACAAAAATACAAAGGTACATCAGAAAACAACCCTCCTGGTAAGCCTTATTTTGATTGAATTAAAGCTAAACGCGCATTTGTCCGCGCCGCACGCGCCGTACGCGCCAAGTTTTGCTGATGGCCTAGCACACTTGCCCGTACGCATTGTCCGCGCCGTACGCAAATCTTTTGTATTACCAACAACTTTTGTAGTTTTTTCCAACTACTGGTGTGAAACGGTACAGTTTGATCACTCGAAATCACTATGGAAAGCAATTTAGTAATAGCCTGCTTATTGGCAGAGGAAGAACAAAATAAAATTCGAAGAAAAAAAAGATTCTGGATTCATAATATTAATTTAAAAAGGCAATTGTATTTAGAATATGAAGGGGATATACTTTATTTAAAGACTTATTACATGATGTTGAACGATTTTTTAGATATTTGCATTCAACATATAAGACATTTCGAGAAATTCTACATATACTAAAACTATATCTTTCTATGGAAAACTCAAGATTTAGAAAGCCAATCGAACCAGAAAAAAAGACTTGTATGTTTGAGATAAGTATTTTTATTGATATTTAAGTAATCAGGTATAATTGGGTTTTTGAATTAAATTTAACTATTTTTTTGTTAGTTCAGTATTTAAATAATTTATCTCTAAGAATACATATTGATAATCGATGCAAAAAAAATCAAATTATATAAAATTAATTACGAATGAATTAAAAGTTATAAAAATACAAAAATTATCATGTAAGTCGAAACCACCAGTTATAGTGGAAAATCCACTAAGTTGGCAACATTAGACAACATTGAGTATCATCACGCGCCGCGTTATATGACGTTCGATATCGTATACCTACCGCATTTTATAACATTCGGCTCGTACGGTGCGGCTGTAATGTACGAGGTTTCATATGATTTCATACAACGAATTCTAAAATTCGGCGCGTACGGCGCGTACGGAGCGTACGGCGCGTGCGGCGAGGACAAATGTGCGTTCAGCTTTAAAGTGACAAAGAAGTAGGCAGTCTTTCTTATGAAAACATGCACCAGAATACGAACCCATAAAAGTGACCCCTCGCGAACTCGTGTATCTTATCCTTAGCGAGTGCGTGCAAGTTTTGGAACTCGTGCAGCGCAGAAAACTTCTTCACGTTCAGGCCATTCGGTGTGATGATGTCGGGTTTCCTTTTCAGGAGGTGTTCCGCTTCGAACCCTGGAACAAGTATTTGAATTTAAATTCGTACGAATACAATGTGCCAACATTCATCATTACAATCTATTATTAAAACCAAAGCTCATCATAGGCCATACATAGGGGGATATTTACCATAGTTGGGAGCTGGGCAGGCGGATTGAAACTGCAGTTTTTTTTTTTAGTTGTACTCAAGAATATGCAGCAACCTATCTTCTATATCATTCTATATATATAGAATATATATAGAAGTGAGTACTTAGCGGTTAGCCACCGTAGAGTCTATATCACCTGAGAATGCCTCGTGTAGAGGCGAAACACGTGTCGTATTGTCGTCAGTGGTGTGTCTTGCCTAGTGTAGTGGTGTTGGGAGTAGCGGTGCTGGGATTAGTGGTGACGGGGATAGTGCACGCAATTGAGGGAGGGCGGGAGGTGCTCTTCATACTAGGTAAGACACATCATTTTATTTTATAACGCGGATATTTGCGAAGTAAATTTTTGTAAAAGCTTTTAGATAACACTTTAATTTTATTTATATGTTTAGATAATTAATTAGTACCAGTGATGTCGGAGACTGTAGTGAAGATGTGCGCCATGTGACAGGCGGCGCGCTCCATGCAGTATCGGTGATATATTTGTCTCTTTCCCGCCTCCTCGTCCACTGAAAACTAGAACGAGACAAACGATACATCAATAAACATGTGTGTTGCCGACAGATTTACGAGTCACAAGCAACATATTATATTCACATCTTAATGTTAGAAGTAATTTTGGAGTTTGAAAATGTTACCTTATCCAAGTTGTTGTAAAAGTCAGTGTTGCCAGCACACAAATATCTTCCCAACAGTGTAGCGTGAGTTGTGAACACAGTGGCGACATCTACGTGACGTACTCTAAAATTGAACAAGAATGTTTTAGTTATATCACAATAAATGTTGACGATCGCCGTAACGCCGGTTTCAGTATGTGTATGTAACAATATGTGCTGGGTTCTAGGTTCAAGTCGCAGCTGAAGCCAAAACAAATACCTGTTTTAATAACACACAGAATATAACCATCATTGCGGTGAGGCAATAAAATAAATATCATTAATTGCCAATGAATATGATAAGATAATAGCCGTGTTAGCTCAACGCTCGCTGTTAATTTCACAGTATGCGAGCACCCTGGGTTCGATCCTCGCCGGCACCAATGAAATTGTTAGTTGCAATGTTTAGTACTGATTTACCACATGTTCGGCGGTGAAGGAAAACATCGTGAAGAAGCCTGCATGTTTGAAAAGACTTGACTTTTATAGGATTCAATGGAAGAATGGATGATTTATACGCTACTTACAGGCACTATAATTATTTCAATGGGGATTAGATGAAGATCAGCGGTATGTTTTTTTTTACCTTAAAATAGACACGATGTGTCAATCGTGAATGATTCGTTCAATTGACTCGGCTGGCATAAAAGTATTGATAATTGCAATTACATTTTTTTATGTTCCGGATCGAACGATGGATAGGGCTAAAAACCAGAGAGTATAGAATTGTCCGACGACCGTACTGAAACTAGAAATGATCCATTTGAATGATCGACCCGAATGGTTCAGCTAGTAAGACGGATCAATACTTGAATGATCGGGTCACTAAAAATGAAGGAATGACACAACATGTCTACCTTAAAATTATTAAACGAACGGACTTGCACCGTTGTAAGTTTTAGATCTAGCACGAGTTCACAGTCAGATCTAGCACGAGCGAGATGACCACACACTAAACTAAATCATCCTCACTATGAGAGCGTCTCATTTCACATCCTTTACCTGAGAACAATAAGTCCGATGCCCGCTTGCCACTCGTGGAAGTGTGCCACGACACGTGGCGGAGTGTCACTGTAGCTCTCGACCGCTTTTCGAAACTGTAAGTAATCATTATTTTAAATTAGAGCGACAAAGGAGTTTAATAGGCTTGGGTACAAAATATCGATATATTCTCACAAAATCTTCGATATTTATCGTCGATATTTTTAATCGCAATACACGATATTAAATACACAATATTCATTTTAGAATTTCGAATTCGTACCCATTCCGATATATGTTAAAATGTTATACATCATTTAATAGACAGACCAAAAGCATTATTTGCTGTTGTTTTTTTTTTCGTCGTCAAATCGTCCGGTTTCAAAATATTGGCCCTAATCCTACGACATCATGCAAAACATGACGATATATCGATATTTATCACGCGATAATTGTCGATACTGTTTAAAAATATCGATACGATAAATATCTATATATTTCATTCACTTGCCCGTCCCTAGAGCTTAAAGCCTGCTGGCATTAGCAGTCCACCATTCCCCCCACCCCTTTACTTAATAAGCCGGTGTTTGACTACAATCCCACCAGTTTAGTAATCTAACACAGCTAGTGGTCATATCTGATTCTAACAACTCAGTGCTTTCGTAACAATGGGTGCTATAAGCACTCAAACCCTAGGAATATTAAATAAGTACAGCTGAATATTAAAGAAGCCATCCAAAGACCGCACATTACGTTACAACCTATAAAAGTCCATTACTAGCACTCAATAAGTATGCTATTTAAAAGTAGGTACATAATCATCTATTAAAACAACGCATCTTATATGTACTCCATGATTTCAAGTCATATTATGTACTCCTAAACAGACAAATATATATTTGTCTGTATGTATATATTTGTATAGTTTATTTACTAGTAAAATGTATATGACGGCACGTGCACTATTGCAGGTGCGGCGGCGCCGGTCTAGCTAGACAGAATTCTTGTAAACGACACGTGTACCGCACACCTGCGGTGCCGCCCGTCCTGTTTGTATAAAATGGACGGAGCGGCCGCCGTTAGGACAGGCTTGGCTCTGACGTGGAACGGTGCGCTTGTCGTATTCCGTTACTAGTTTATCCTCGACTCTTTGGATAATTAATTCATAACATACATAACATAACATAAACACTCACGCCTGTCACCCAGAGGGGTAGGCAGAGACTACGGACTTCCATTTGGCGCGATCCTGACACACCTCTCTCGCCTCTTTCACATCCATATATCTACGCATACACGCTCGTCGGTTAAGGGTACTCCTAATCTGGCCCATTTTCAATGTATCGCCGATCTGGTCGATAAACCTTCGTCTAGGGCGTCCCTTCCCGACCCTGCCGTTCACTTCTGCAACATAAATTTGCTTTGTCACTCTTTCCTCGTTCATTCTTTCTACGTGACCAAACCACCGAAGCATTCCTTTCTTAATCCTTGTCACAACGTCATCTTGCAAACCACACTTTTCTCTTATTACACTATTTCTCACCCTGTCATTCAGATTCAGCCCTAGCATACTCCTTAAGGAACGCATTTCTACAGCATTTATTCTACTCTCATGCTTCTTCTGCCAGACCCAACTTTCACTACCATACATTAAAGTGGGTACTAACACAGCATTATGAATTGCCATACGTGCCTTAGTTGACACATTCTGACTCCTCACAATAGCGTGTAGAGCCCCATTCACTCTATTTCCTGCGTTCACTCGTCGTTCTATATCCTTATCATATCTACCATCCCTGCTAAATAAACATCCCAAATATACAAACTCATCCACTTGCTCAATCAACTCCCCTTCTATTCTTATTTTACATAAAGTTTTACTTTCTTCTCTTTCAAAAACCATCACTTTCGTCTTACTTGCGTTCACTTTCATACCCCTTTCTTTCAATGAACAATTCATTAAAGTAACCATCATTTGCAACTCGGCCGCCGACGATGCAAATATGACTTGATCATCGGCGTACAAAAGGCATTTGACGGTTGACTCACCCATTCTCAACCCACATTCTTCAACTTTCAAAGTTTGCAAACAACTGTCCATAAATAGGTTAAACAGCCACGGGGAAGCCACACATCCCTGTCTGACACCTTTATGAATGCCAAACCAGTCCGAGTAGACCCCGTTGATCCTGACACAAGCACTAGAGTCCCTATAAAGAGACTTTAATGCCTGTATCAAGCCAGCGCTCAACCCAAATGAGTTCAGTGTTTGCCATAACACGTTCCTGTCCACTCTGTCATAAGCCTTTTCCAAGTCCAAGAACGCACAAAAAACTTTCTGGTTTTTAGCCAAAAACTTCTCCGCTATCATGCGCATGGAAAAGACTTGATCCGTACACCCCATCCTCTTTCTAAATCCAGCTTGCACATCATGATAATTAATATATGATGATGAATGAATGATAATTAATTCGTGTAAACGAATTAATTATTATTCCTAACTACAAAATCAGTCTCTGTACTATACTCAATTACCCTTTCTACATATATATTACGTAGTTAATTAGCATTTTTGTTTTGTTTTTATTCTATATTGCTACACCTATGTCTAATTTTCACCACTGTATGGGTTGAATGGTAGATACTTATAGAAACCTGTAGAAAATTTAAACAATATTTACCCGTTCCTCTTGGATCCTCTTTTCAGAATACTAAAATATTTAAATTCCAATCCATCACACAATCTTTCTTCAAACATCTTTGGAATACCCTTCCCAATTATATTAAGAATACAACAAATAAAAACTCCTTTAAAGAACTTCTACGACAACATTACCTGAGGGCAATTATTGACATTTTTTTCTTTTTTTTATATATTTATTTATTTATATATGTAATCATACGGATATTTATTTTTTAATACAGTTGCTCAAAAAGTGGCGTATTGCAGGGACGTATAGCGTTCGGGATGTGGACATACTCGTGCTTTTTCTTTATCTTTTCCGAACTCGTGCGTTCTCTTTCCCAGCTGTCAATATAATGTCTATTAAAAAGAAATAACCAACCACGAAGTTTTTACTAAAAAAAAAATCATAGAAGTTTTTATGATTTATGCAAATATTTCTAAAAAGAAGTTACTAATTTGTTTCAATATTAATGATTTGAATCAATGATTTAGGTTAGGTTTCATTTAATTTCATCTCATTAAATTTAATTTTCATTTCATATGAATAAAAAAAATTCTACTGAAGACTTGGCTGTATGCGCTTAGTTCCCTTTGCCTACCCAGAATGTGTGAAGAAAACAAAAAAAATCTGCTTATATTCTTTTACGGTTGGCGCCATTTTCCAAAAATGTTCTTTATTAAATTGCTTCATTTTTTCGCAACTGTATTAAAAATAGTTGTTCAGTACACGTGCGGAACCGTCATTGCAAATTGTTCCGACTGTCAACCCTCACCTTCGGCTGTGCCTCGGCTCAGGTAGACATTTGTCGGAACTCTTTGCAATGACAGGCTTTCCGCACTCGTAATGAAATATACTATATTATGTTTATAAGCATATTACACATAGTGTGTGTGTGTGTGTGTGTGTGTGTGTGTGTGTGTGTGTGTGTGTGTGTGTGTGTGCGTATGCGTGCGTGCGTGCGTGCGTGTGGGTGTGTGTGTGTGTGTGTAAGAAATAATTTGCAAATTGTATGTGGTTTCGAGCATCGGTGAAGGGGGTCTTTCACAATCCTCTTATTCTCCTGATAATGCAGAGGTAATAAAACCACATACAATTCGCATATTATTATTTTTAAATTAAAATATTTTTTTAATGTTCAAGTTTTTTGAAAAAAGTTATTTCTTCACGTTTGAATACTGACTCTGATAACGCATTTAACGGGAAACACAGGGTTTTTATTACATGTTGTATATGCTATATATGTGTCTATATTTAAATATATGTACTGTATGTATGTACTACATATATTTACATATATCTATACATATCTATACAAATAAATAAAATTGAAGTGTCTGTTTGTAATGTCAAAATTACAGTTTTTTACTAAATGCATATGAAAGTAAATACGATACCTATAACTAAAATACAATTTTTAAAATTTTTGTCTGTCTGTCTGTCTGTCTGTCTGTCTGTCTGTCTGTTTGTTCCGGGTAATCTCCGAAACGGCTGGACCGATTTTGACGGGACTTTCACTGGCAGATAGCTGATTTCATAAGGAGTAAAATAGGCTACTTTTATTTTAGAAAAATAATCAGGGTTCCGCGCAGAAACATAAAAACACTAACACGCGAACGAAGTCGCGGGGAACAGCTAGTTTTTAATATATGTACACTTTATATTATGTTTCGCACCTGCCAACCATTGTCCTTAGCACCCAGGGATAACTGGCAGAGAATGCCACATCGCAATATGTTCGTCCTATGTACTCTTTACTTCAAGGTGTTACATGTAAGTTGTTAAATAAATAAATACAATTACTTTCGAGAACCACGCCTATCAAAGCGGAAATATATTCCTATTATAATTTTCTTTTAAAAGGGCTTACTTCAGTTATGAACTGCGCGACCATGAAGCCAAGTATGACAGCGTCGTTGGCCTCCACGTCCAAGTGTGGGATACCCAGCGAGCAGGTGTCCCACAGCTCTTGTTTGAAACTGTCCATCTGCCAAGCCCCGGAGCCTATGTCGAACAGGATGATCTGAGGGTTGCCGTCCACCAGCCACGTGCCTGTATGTAGCTGAAAATATATATGCATCAATCAATGATGTAAATCTAGATTTTTTTAAATAATTAAAAGACCGTTAGGGTTTCGTTCTTTAAACACGTGAGGTTCGAACAGAGAGCAGAACGGTCTGAAAAGTCACGATAGGATGACATAATGTGAAAATTACATTTTTCGAGCGATGAAAAATGTAATTTAATGTGTTACGTGAAAAATATAATTACCAACTAAATTCCCATTTTTATTGATAGATATTTATGGTTTTTCGGAATATATTTCTACGATATTTTTTTTCAAAATAGATTCTAAAAATATCTAATCATTCCAATAATAAAGATACCCGTGATGCTGACAGGGGAGCATCACGGATACCGGTTCCGGCTAATTTCCGAAACGGCTGGACCAATTTTGACGGGATTTTCACTGGCAGATAGCTGACGTTATAAGGAGTAACTTAGGCTACTTTTATTTTGTAAAAGAATTAGGTTTCCGCGCAAAAGAATTAAAACCCATGAAATCCAATCGTAACAAATTCCACGCGGGCGAAGTCGCGGGGAACAGCTTGTAAAAGATAAAACTAATGCTCTGATATTTCTCTTAATTTCAGCAATAAAATGCAAAAACAAAAGAAATTGTATTATATTACACAAACAAGTGGTAAAATTAAAATTTTTTGTACAACCAACTTCAATATAAATAAAATGAGATAGTGAATGTAGTCAAAGTCAATTAAATACGCATTATTAAGGATAACTCAAAAACTACAGGCCAGATCTCGATCAAATATATATGGGACACCATGAGAAGCACCAGCTTTCAAATAATAATCATCAAAATCGGTTCACCTACAAAAATTTTTTGAGGTAACACACATTTAAAAAATACCTTGGAATTGAGAAACTCCTGCTTTTTTGAAGTTGGTTAAAAATAAACATCTAAAAAGCCAAACAGCTGCATGGTTTTTTTGTTTTTCTAAAGTATGTTAAGCGAGAGTTGATATCTATACAAATAAATAAAATTGAAGTGTATGTTTGTAATGTCAAAATTACAGTTAAATTATAGTTATAACTAAAATACAATTTTTAAAATTTTTGTCTGTCTGAACAAACAGACAGACGTCTATCTGTTTGTTCCGGCTAATCTCCGAAACGGCTGGACCGATTTTGACGGGACTTTCACTGGCAGATAGCTGATTTCATAAGAAGTAACTTAGGCTACTTTTATTTTAGAAAAAGAATTAGGGTTCCACGCAAAAATATAAAAACCCTAACAGGCGAGCGGAGTCGCGGGGAACAGGTAGTACATTGTAAAACGTCTCGCAATAGCGACTGTCCCATAAGCGTCGTAATCTATGTGACGGGCGTCACTTATCGCCACAGGCGCAATGTTGTGGTACGTAGCTCGCAGCTGTTGTAACGAGGCCGCAAGGGCGTGCCAACGCGGCGGCTTTTTATCATCTATCAGCAAAAATAATTAGCGGGCCGCAATTCGAGTTTAGGAGCCCTGCTTTTTTTATCAACTCTCACCGAAAATATGTGTTCTATTCTATTATACCTTTCAGTTACCTTATAACCTTGGCTCCTCATTGCGTTGACAGCGGTGGTGAGTGGAGAATTTTGGGGGAAATCGTCTTCTTCAACTTCAGTCCGAGCGCAGTGTTCCTTGTACGGACCTACAAACAGAAACCATTACTATAAAAATAAACACTCAAGTAAGTACAAGACAATTTCACTAAAGGAGTTGTTGATGTTGTTTGGTTAATGTGTTATATCACCAGGTGGTAGGACTCCAGGATTTCTATTCTGCGTAAAAGTGCGTCTCGGTAGGTAACGCGTATTTTTATACGTGATAGGGCCACGCTGCAGCTATATTAGTAGTATAGTTTTGGCACGAATAGGTCGGCTCGACCGGGGAAGGATCACGCTCTCACAGACTACCAGCTTAGTGCTGCTGTTTCGTATGGTAAGTGTAGAGAACCGGAGACCCTTTTTACTGGAAAAGAGGCATTCCATCTTAGTCCTCACGGGTGACAACGCAACGGCATTTTAATTCTTTATTGAGGATAGATGTAGATGTCCATGGGTCACACTTACCATTACTCTATCCTATACAAAAACTGCTCCAGGATAATCTATGCAAGTGCGTATATATTTTAACGCGTTATATATTTATTTTTCACACTCACCATACGAAACACAGCAGCGTTAAGCTGCTATTTTACGCTGGTATTCTGTGAGAGCGTGGTCTTTCCCCAGTCGATCCGACCCATTAATGCTACAACTGAACTACTAATATAGCTGCAGCATGGCTCGACCATGTACAAGCAGACTAATTAATTAATACCTCTATCATAACAACGGCTCGCAGTTTCTTAGCAATGAGAGAGTTCGAATCTCGCACTGTACAAGTATTTGTATGGAATACAAGTAATTGGATGTTTATCTTCGTGCAATTTATGTAAGGAAACTGCCTCCACGATACAGGATAAAATCCTAGTGTAGGAGTAACGTTTTTTGTAAAGAAAAATAGGATAGGGAGCCCTTTTGCTCAGCAAATGGGACATATTAAGGCTATACCTTTAATTTAAATACAACTTTATGTAGTACGTACCTAATAAGCAATAGTTCTCTCCCATTTCTTCGACGGAGACATACGCCTTCGATCTTATCACAGTATAAATACCACCAACTGGAACAAAAAAAATCACACATATATAAATAACTAGCGGTCCGCCTCGGTTTCGCACGGGTGATTTCTGGAGCTTGACAACAGCGCCATCTATCGGGTCCAATTGTGAATCTAAGTCATGTGGGAAATTCAAACACACACACAAAAATTTTCATGAAAATCAGTTGAGCCGTTTTTGAGTTTTGTCGAGACTAACAGACAGCAATTGATTTTTATATATGGAAGTTTTTTTTATTTTTGACGGCAGTGCGGCTACCCTTTGCGGGTGTAATTTCATAAAATATAGATATAGAGATATCGTGATGAGTCTGTACATATAAGTGGAAATTTCTTATTCTCTATCTGTAATATAGATATAACACGGAATAAATAATAGTACAAGAAATATATCTAGCTTCTATAAAGCGCCGGGGGTTATTTAAACGCTATTTTTAAAATTTTCGTCTGTCTGTCTGTTATCCCGAGCCAATCTTCGGAATAGCTTTTTTTTAACTTATTATAAGCCAGTGCTTGACCACAATCCCACCTGGTGGTAAGCGGTGATGCAGCCCTAGATGGTAAATCGCACTGACTTAGCGTAACAAAAGCCTATTCACTCTTGCCTTGAAGACGCTCAGATTGTATTCGGACGGAAAGATAGACGCCGGCAATTATTTCCACTTCAAATTCGAGTTTCCAATCATTCGAATCATAATCGAACTCAAGGTAATTCGCACTAACGAAACGGAAGTTATCGCACATTCGAATTTTGATTCAAATTGGAATTATCAGATATCTTGGAATTCTTCAGCTATCCGCTACTAGATGGCGCTCGTACGACGACAAGATAAGTTTGTCCTATTTTGCTAATAAAATTATATTTATAACGTGAATTTTTAATTTATTAATTATAATCTCCAGATAATCTTTATTAATTGGAAAAATATCATCTGATCTGAATAAAGTTCTCCAGACTGCATTTCAGATATGACGGCGTCTCACCGGATACCAGCAGTCTGCGCAAACAACAAGTGAAACGTAAACGTCCTGACTCCGAGCCGCTATTCATAATTTCTGGACAGAAAACGCAATAACTAATTTTGGCCCAAGTTCGAACGCGTGACCACGTGATCACAAGTCTCCTGACAACTAGACTAACAAGGCATTCGAGAACATGCAAAAATCTACAAATTAAACCTAAACCAATATTCGCAGTTGTGAATTAGTTCATTTAGACCTAACACATTACACAATTATGTTGACATGGTAAAGAAAACTCGTGTAACTGGTTGCACGTAATTCAAGAATTCTTAAGCCACCTACCGTCCTAGAGGTTGAACAAAAAGGCTTTGTAATGCCTCGGGCGGCCTTGTAAGAATCAGAGCATAATGTTGTAGTGTCCTATCTTGGCCAGCTAAGACCACTCTGAAGAACGAATTTTTAATTTCAAGGTTGCCGTTAGATGGATTTGGAGATTTATAAATAATCCAGTGCTTGTGCACGATCCCGTCGGATGGAATGTGATGAAGTAGCCGAAGATTGTAAAGCGCACTAACTTATACCGGTTTCCTACTTATATTCAAAAAACGTTTAGTTCTCATTAAACGATGCGTTTTATTACACACGAGGTGCATGTAGAAACAGTTTATATTACAAACTATTCATTCAACAACTTAGGACGAAATAATTTAAAAAAAAGACTCATAAATAGTTGAACTGATATTTTGTTTTGAAAAAGGGGTTTTCTTGCACTTTATTACTGCAAAACGGCTCGTAAGAGATAACGAAGCGTTTTTAAATATAGAAACCCGACATTAGTGACAAATTTCTTTTTACTAATGTCGGGTTTCTATATTAAAAAAAAAGCCCACATTGTAATCGGATGGGAAGACAGATGCTGCTCTGTAGAAAGTTTGTTTAGCTCGTAAGTATTGTCATCCAAACTTGGCTTTAATCTTTGCTCCGAAGTGGTGACTGGCAGATTTGAATAAGAAAAAATAAATACATTTTTCTTATAATAATTTCTTATATTTACGCGAAGACTACACATTAAATGAAACTAATTTTTACGGATTTTATCGCGTTTAATTTAACTTTTTAATTCCCTACGTTTCGGTTGCTTTACAGCACCCATGGTCACGGGGGGACTAAGGTGTTTGACGTCCCGATGTCATAGTTACCTTTAGTTTTTGAATATTAATTTTTGGTCCGATCTACGCAGAATGAACTTACAGTATCTTGAAGTCTTGCAGTGGTATTCTTGTGTTTGGATTTAATTTTATTAATTATAGGATAATTTTCTCTATTGAAGTTAGGATGTTTTTTAATTTCAATAGCTTCGCGGATCATCCTTGGTAGGAATCGGTGTTCTTTTGCGAGGATTTGTGGTCTATAAAATCTAATGTAATGGCGTAAAGCACCCGAAACGTTGGGAATTATTATTATTAAAAAAAAATCTGTTAAAAATTTAATTAAAATAGCATCATCTACCTTTATTCGCCGCCTCCCAAGCAGTCTCAAACGTCCATCGGTTCTCCTCGTTCGCAGCCTGACCCCGGTCCATATAGGACAGCAGATCGTGTGTGGAGTCGGCCCTATAGAACCGCCGGGAGCTCCTGTCGCGAGACATTGTGACCTGTAACAACGGGAACTAAGTTAAAATATGATAAAAACTGGAGGCACGTTGTAGTGTACTATGGGTGGAGCACAACCGAATCGGCTCAACCGACCACTCTCGCACAGAATACCAACGTGAAATAGCACCTTAACTCTGCTGCATAGCATATATATGAGGTAATCTATAGAAAATAGAATAATTTTATTCACTATAAATCACTAGTAAATCTTATTGAAAGGTTTTTCCTTTTACCGCTGGTTCGGGAAAAAACATTTGTCCTGGAAAGAACCAGCATGAAATCTTACAATTCGTAAAATTTTACAATAAAACATAGGTTATACGAACTACTTACAAAGCTTATTTAAAAAACAGCTTGAAAACGGCTACCACCTTTGTACGTGGTAGAGCCATATGCTGCGGCTATATTAGTAGTATAGTTTTAGCACGAATGGGTCGGCTCGACCGGGGAAGGACCACGCTCTCACAGGATACCAGCATAAAATAGAAGCTTAACACTGCAGTGTTTCGTATGGTGAGTGTAGAGAACCGGAGACCTTTTTTACTGGATCGAATGCCTCGTGCATTCGATTTCAGTCCTCAAGGGTGACAACGCATCTGCATTTTGATTCTTAATCGAGGACAGATGTAGATGTCTTTGTACGTGGTACTGGGCCACAGCATCCACTTACCATCAGGTGGACTGTGTGCTCGTTTGTCACTCTTATTATATTTAAAAAAATGTTTATGTTTATCACCACATTTCAGCCTGTGGGTGTAGTAAGAGGCCACTATGGGTAATACCATAAAGATTTTATAGCTTCCGATAGATGGCTCTTAAATTCTATCTCAAAATAATAAAATACATTTATGATGTCCAAAATACACCACATCAAAATGCATATTTTTGCATAATGTTCCATTTATATAACATAGTCCACAGATCACGAGACCAGACATATTTCAAGCTTGGAGCCTGTCCAAATATAATTTACCGTCTTATTTGAATAGTACACATCCGTGATCGAAACTGGTTTTGCGATACTTTTGAAGTAGAAAAAAAAACTGATTATATCCCAGCCTATATAGCCTTTCCACCGCATTTATAAAAAAAAATATTAAGTTCAAAAATGTTTCTTTCCTGTGAAATTTTTATTTTTTTCTTAATTTGTTTAATTTTTCTCATTTCATCGTTTTTTTTTTCTACGTTTGCAAAAAAAGTAAAATCCAAATTAATAATCTTAATAGTCACAAATATCCATAATATTTTGTTTTATACACACTTTTATTGCGTTCCTCTAAATTTGTCCATTAGTGTATATGATAGTGACACAATAGTCGCAAAATAACTTTTTTTTTTTTATAGGATCGAGTGACAAACGAGCAAACAGTCCACCTGATGGTAAGTGGTTGCTGTGGCCCATAGACATCTACATTTATCCTCAATAAAGAATCAAAATGCAGATGCGTTGTCACTCGTGAGGACTAAGATGGAATGCCTCTTTTCCAGTAAAAAGGGTCTCCTGTTCTCTACACTCACCATACAAAACACAGCAGCATTAAGCTGCTATTTTACGCTGGTATTCTGTGAGAGCGTGGTCCTTCCCCGGTCGAGCTGACCCATTCGTGCTACAACTTATAGCTGCAGCATGGCTCTACCACGTAACTAAACTAGGACACGTGTGCCCTTAACAGGTAGGCGCGAATGAAAACCATGATAAGAGAGCGAGGGCGATGTAGGAGTAATCAAATAGATGATTTTGTTTTTCGTTTTAAAAATTTAACAGCGCGACGGACATTTTCTTGCACTGAAATAGCATTCCTGTGCCCAGCCGTTGGACGTATATACACTGAAGTTTACTTTTTAGGGTTCCGTATCCAGAGGGTATCCAACGGGACCCTATTACTAAGCCTCCGCTGTCCGTCCGTCCGCCCGTCCGTTCGTCTAGTCTATCAGCGAGCTGTATCTCATGATCCGTAATAAGTAGACAGTTGAAATTTTCACAGAATGTGTATATCTGTTGCAGCTATAACAACAAATAATAAAAATTAATTAAAAATTAAAAGGGGGACCCCTACTAGAAACACTAGAAACGTGTTTTACGATGGTACGGAACCCTTATGCGCGAGTCCGACTCGCACTTGGCCGGCTTTATTCAAGTTTTACTCTGTGATATTTATCAAACAGTAAAAGTTGAATAAAGCGAAAGAAAGATACCTTTTACATTTATAGGTGGTTTTATTCTTTATGGAAGTCTTTCTGTTCCTTATATTATTTTCACTCTACGTTAGCGATTTTTTTAATAATTTTTTCAAGCCGAAAAATTTGCTTTATAATGCGTTGATATTTCATTATTTTGTAAACTTAAATTAAGAAAAAACATGCGTGAGTGTCGTGAAACACTCGGTTGGAACGAAGTTCCTTATTATTGATAAACGTATTATATTATTGATTAACAAATACAAATAAATGTATTACTGGTGCCTATTAAAATGAAGCGTCATTTAAAATAAAATACACTATACAAGGGGTAGTGACGAATAAATCTTACACTTTTTGTCGCCTAGCTCCCATCCGCCAAACCCGTACCGTCCGATAAGGAACTTCGTTCCAATAATTCAAAAGGACATGGCGTTTAAAATCGATTCATTTCGAGTTTTACACAATACTGATAAATTTTTACACATTGCACCGAAAACAAACGTCAAACTTTTACACGCACTGCAGATCCGATGTCAATTTAAAAACGAATTTCGATTTTTTTTTGTTTTTAAATTATTTATTCATGTTTTTATGAAGGTAATTGTAACGCAGTGCAGACATAAGGGAATATATGACGACTCTATTCCATTCCGTGGGACTCTTAAGAAGTGACTATAGGAAATGTCATGAAAGTCTTTCAGCTTCCAATAGGTGGCGGTAAATACATCTCGTTTACTACTGGCGACGGGCAGAAGCATCAATGCGTACACCTTCTTCACCGTCACTGTTAGGAGGTAGGAGCTGATGAGGCTAGCATTTCGATTCGACGATTTTCTCCTGTATCGTGGAGGCAGTTTACAAACATAAATTGCACGAGGACAAACATTCAGACCCGGAACAATTATTTGTAGGCCATACAAATACTTGCTCCGTGCGGGATTCGAACCCGCGGCCCCCAGCGCAACAACTCATTGCTAAGCCACTGCGCATTTCAGGTAATATCGATTGTAAAAAGCTGCCTGTAACGAATCTGCTTATAGAATAGATCGTAACACTTGCTCATAAATTTCTCCTAATTATGAGGAAGAGGAAGAGGAACTTTAATACCAATTTTTGAGGATGTGACTTCATTAACCATAATATAAACCCCTTCCGTGGTAATGTTTTTTTAATCACCCCCACACTGGAAATTTCTCTTATATCGTTGAGACGTTCAGATCTGTCCAGCGCAAACGACTTTTTACTTAAAGAAAAGATGATGTTAACCTTTTTGATAATGGCTAATTTCCATCGATATCATCTAAAAAGAAATTAGGAACATCCATTATGAAGATAAGGAAGAGGTATCTTCATCAACCCTAAAGCCTTACCGTGTCGTTCCAGTGTGGAAATTTCTCCTACATCGTAAAGATGTTCATACCTCTCCTGCGCAACTTTTAACTTCAATAAAGGTGGTGTTAACTTTCTTGATATTGGCAACAATTCCGCATTTTAGGAAGCTATTAACGGCGCCGGAGATATTTCATTATTTTTTTTATAGAAGAGGTGGCAAACGAGCATGCGGCTCACCTGATGGTAAGTTTTTTTTTTTCTTTAAGTGACTACCGCCGCCCATGAACAACCGCAACACCAGGGGAATTGCAGATGCGTTGCCGGCCTTTTAGAAAGGTGTAAGCTCTTTTCTTGAAGGTCCCTAAGTCGTATCGGTCCGGAAAAGTCGCCGCTAGTAAACAATTCCACAGAGAAGTTGTACGAGGAAGAAAACTCCTAGTAAAACGCACAGTCGTGGACCGCCAAGCATCCAGATCCAGATTAGTCGGGACATATCTCAGTTTTTTTTTGTTATTTATTATATAGTTAAATTATATATTTTTTGTATTCGATATCAATGGCTAGCACCAAAATATTGCCTTATGTTTTTGTTCAGGCGTTACTCTAAAAAAATACAAAATGCCTATTCATCTACAAAATTCGTAAATGCATGTACTAAAAGAGCATACAATAGTTATGGGATGTATCTAAGTGACCTTTATCCGAACGTTAAATGTGGATAGCGTTTATTGATTTCGGTGCGAGAAGTTATCGAATCCGAGTCGATTTCGCTTTCCGAGACGATTGTGAATAGCCCGGCTGGTGTCCGACGTCAGAAATAATCGAAATCAACATCATCGTGAATGAGTTAATATTTACTATTCACGATATTCGCAAGATAAGATTATTTAAAATTAAAACACTTTACAAGTTTTATCAAAATAAGGTCAGCGGCCATGACAGATAAGTTACTCAATCGGTCAGTTAATGTGCCACGACTTTTATTTTAGAAGAAAATATGACAAACGAGCACACCGTTCACTTAATGGTTACTGAATGCTGTGCTCACATACGCCTTATCCACGAATAAAAACGAAAATACAGATGCGTTATCGTCCCTGAGGACTAAAATGGAATGCCTTGTTACCGGCACTATTTTCACACAACCAGTATTATTTTCTTTATCGCGCTCGTATTATGGACGAGCATGGTCATTTTCCGGTCCATCCCACCCATTCGTATAATGGTTCAATCTTGTTTATGTGTCGCCAGCCAGATTACAGCTTACCCAGCCCGGTAATTGAATGCCGCATGTTTTTTTTTAATAGAATAAGGGTAACAAACGAGCATACAGTCCACCTGATGGTAAGTGGTAGCTGTGACCCATAGACATCTATCCCATTGAATCATCTCAAAATGCATAGGACTAACATGGAATGCCTCATTTCCAGTAAAAAGGGTCTCCGGTTCTCTACACTCGCCATACGAAACACAACAGCAT